TTATAATTAAAGAATATGGCATTAGTAAAAGAAATCTGCAAATTTGACACTTGTGTCGATTTTTTTTTTGGCCAATATCTCCATTTTTGTGGATTGCGAGAAGTAACTCGTTTTGTCAGCTCGCCTCACATTTGTTTGTATCGTCTATTTTTTTTAAGAGAGAATTTACAATAGTGCAAAGAGATAGACAATCAGTAGATCACATTATAGTTTGTTTTGGATTAATGAAAATAGACAGAAACATACATAGTTGTCTTTCTGATACATATGAGAACAAAGACACACATCAAGACAAAGAGCAATGGATGAGAAGATAGACACACAGAAAAAGGGATTGATAAGTGGATTGCTGAAAAAAAAAAGACATTAATAGAAAAACAACTAGATGAGAAGACACATACATACAAGGATAAAATTATCAATAGATCTTTAAAACATCATTATAATGACACTGTCCGAGATGTATTTACTTTTTTCCTGTGTTGTTGTGAGTACGCGTTAGTGTACCTAACCTTAGTAATATCCACTGCCATTGTAAATGACCAAGACAAATATCTCTCTGTGACTGTGAGAAGAATAAAGATTGATATTGTCATTGTCATGGTCTACTTGTCTGAGATGACCACTTTTTTTCTTCAATAAATGAGTGGCTGCCTTGGGCAATTTCAACTGTACTTGTCCAAATTCTTCAACCATTCCTACTTAACATCACTGTTGGTTCTCCCTTCTTCAGAAGCTGCAAGATAAAAACACTCTTTTTTTTCTGCTCTCATTTAAACTGATAAACCTGTCTCTGTCTGAGCTAACAAAAGACCAGCAATATGAAATGCTGTAATGATTTGATCATTCTGATTTCTACCTAAGATTGTGCTGATTATACAACAAAATGGTTGTCTCCTCTTCGAGATACTTAAGAAAAGATCACTCAAAGCATCAACAACAATACCTTTATTTCTGTGAGCTGGAAACTAATTTTCCATCTATATTACTTACAGCGCAGTGAATGCTATTTTTAATTTTTAATCAGTGCTCCATCTAGGAGAATACAATCTTCCATGAAACTCACTTTCTGGTATATATAGCCATTGGGAATTCCCCAGCCTACAGTTGGGTCAGCAGACGGAGCACAGTTCACTCGGGGCTGCGAGTTGATGGTGAGGACGCCGCGTTTGTTCACACATGCCAGCTTGTCAGCGATCAGAGACGTCTCTGCCACAATCTCGTCATCATCCCATGGGATTCGAACCACCTGTAGGGAAAGGTAAGACATACTTTAAGATAAGATCAGGTAAGATAAGATAAAATCAATCTTTATTGTCCAGAACATTGATTTTTGTGTTTCACCATGTGTGCACGCACGCACCCACACACACAGGATTGTTGAAAAACCAAACCAAGCATTTTCTCAGTCCATGAAATCTGTAAGCAAAATTTTTATAACGTCATGCATCATCTTGACAAATTCAAAGACCCTGAATTTAGCCTTCTTACACCAAAAAAAACAAACTTTATGAAGGTGCCACTGGCTGGTAGAGTATTTGCTGCCTTGTATTTACTCAATTTACACGGAGTTGCTCAAATTATAAACCCTGTACCTAGTTATGAGAAATTTGAGGTGAAAATTTTTAGTTTCACAACAAGATCAAGATTTTTCAAATGCAATTCTTAGAACATCTTGATAACGTCTCTGAATAATCTTTCAATTTTGATAGAGCAGATAGCACATTTTGCTTCTCACCTCATGGTCTTAGTAACTCAAAACAGCCAAAAGTATCCGATAGAACCTCGTAATTCTAGGCCAGCGATATGTCTACACAACAAGACAGTTGATCAATATACATTGTCTAACCTTTGACCTTTTAATGACTCTTTTCCGTCTTAGAACTTCCTTTAATGTCTCCTTTGTCCCTGGGTCACCTATATCTCCGTATTATCTATTTTTCTCCAAAATCCTTCAAAAAACATCTCAACAGCTGATAACATGAGGAGAGCAAGCTCCGTGTCAAGTCAGGCAAACACTTCACCCAAGTTCCCAAGATTAACCATTTCGAACCCTGGACCCAGATCCCCACCCCAGGATTACTCCGACTTAACTAAGCCCAGGTTGCATCAGGATATTTTCAGACCTTCATTTTACCGTCTGACGAATACTGTGGAGGGTGTGTATAAAAATATATATAAGAAGTTACAACAATTGTGTTCACTTCCAGATATCAACATTTTCAACAGAGGTCTGCTGTCACATATCATATCCTAAAAAAAGGATCAGTTTCCATGTACTTCTGGCTTCACTGCTAGGCAGTAAAAACAAATCTGTTCTAATATGTTCATGTGAAGTTACCTAACGACACACAGGTATCAGGACCCCTCACAGAGAGACCTGCAGTAATAACTTCAAAAGTTATGAACATGAGCTGCCAAGGAGAAGTTTGAGGCTCAGATGTCAATGGTAACTCTAAACCTTCAAGGAATATTTCCTATCTGCCCAGTGTCCTCACACAGAAGCAAGCATTCCATTAATATGACTTACACTGTTAAACTTCCACGAAGAGTCATATGAAGTCACAACTTAATAATTAACCTTTGATAGCCACTACATAATATAATTTCGTTTGCAGGCATTTAAATGCCGTGAGAATCTCTCTCTCTCTCTCTCTCTCTCTCTCTCTCTCTCTCTCTCTCTCTCTCCTTCTCTCTCCCTTTCCCTCCCTCTCTCACATCACAAAACATGTATCGTCCGAGTATTTGGAAGGCAAAAATCAATGAATTCAACAAAAAAACAAAAAGAAAAAAAAAGGGCTATAACGTGGCATAACATGACATTACCTTGACTCCCTTTTTGTTGGGCATTCCTGTGAGATAGTTGACGAACACGGACCATACGTCCTGCTCACTGGTCAGCTCCTCGCCCCACATCTGTAGCTGCTCGTCATGTGATGACCGACTCTTCAGGTAGAACAAATGATAATACTTGAGGTCGTTGAAAGACGCAGAACGGGAATCTCCCCAGCGACCATTTGGAAACTCTTCCCAGTCCGAGGTACGATACACGTAGCTGTTGGGCCGGAGCCTCCAGAAGATTGGACGCACTTCTTCCTCTGAGCGGTTGTAATTTGCCGTCTTTTTCCAAGGCAATGATCGGGAAACTTTGTCTTTCCAGAGTCCTAACTGTTTCAACACTTCCCTCACAGCCACTTCACGGTTTAAGGTGTAGAAGTGCAGGCCTCGGAAGCCAGCATTCAGGAGGCTTTTACAAAGATCAACAGCCTGGTCGATGCCATACTTCCTAATGGCTTCGTCATTGTCTTTGATTGGTGTGATCATTTGGATAATCTCACTGGGCACTTCCAGTTTAGAAAGTTTGACTATATGACGGAGTGACTGGTATGCCTATGGAAAACAAAACAAATGTGTCAGTGATTCCAGCTAAAATTTGAATTCCTCAGTATAAAATACCTTCAAGTATCCCTTTCGGGTCTGAACACTACTTGCACAAATTCACACTTTCCCAATCCAGACTTACACACTTAAACATACTTTCATAATTATCACAGTTCACAGGGAGGGTTTTCTTTACTGAACAATATGACGATTTGAACTTGGATTACAATCAGCTTTATGAAAACTTTTTATAAACTAAAAAAAAATTTGAGTTCTGAAAAACATTCTCAGAAAATGAAAGGAAGGGGAAACTAAACATTGAAGAAATGTGCAGAGCACTGGTGGCAACAATTGTGCAACAGATCATAGAAAAAGATAACTGAAAATCCCTTCTGAACATGATCATTGTCTTACAGACACCAACACAAGGTACATAGACTACATATAAACCATACAGTTCAGCCCCTTCTTTCTTTATTACAAACTGCACCTTCAAGTAAGTAAGTATACTGGGGTGTCCAAAAGCTATAGTCCACAATGTTAGAAAAATTTTTTAACAAAATATTTAAGGTATTTTTTTCAAATTAAAAAGTAAAAACCGATTCCTGTTCTACAGAAGAAAGGTACATACCAACTGAAAAAAACAACGCTGGTTATACATCATTTTTTAAACAACCAGTTCTTTCTCCAAAAATGGGATCATTACAGAGAACACACCACAACTTTTAAAAAACATGCCTCTGTTCACAATGAACTACAAATACCTGTATGGGCAAGATTCCGGGAATAATTGGAATGTTGATGCCGATCCTGCGGCAATCTCTCACGTAGTCCAGGAAAGTCTCTGGTTTGAAGAACAACTGTGTGATAATGAAGTCAGCGCCAGCGTCCACTTTTTCCTTCAAGTATCTGAGATCATCTTCGTAAGAGCTACATTCAGGGTGGCCGGTGGGATATCCTGAAATTGAAAAATTCCATGCAGCATTGACAGAGAGGGAGGAACAGGTGCTGAAATAAAGTCTTGCATTGGAAAAGCACAGGCTACTTTCATATCTTTGAATAGGATTTGGAAAACCAGAGATATCTCACTTCGAAAAAACTGAGGATTTTCAATTCAAATGGAAAGTCAGTCCTGTTGTATGAATGTGAGACATGGAACGCATCGCAGATGTGCATAAAGAGGATCCAGGTTTTCTTGAACAAGTGTCTAAGAAAGTTACTGAGGATCAGATGGACAGACAGGGTCACCAACGAGGAAGTTTTATGGAAAACAAAGCAGATCCCAGTCAGAGATTAGGTAGGAAGATGGCAGTAGCCATGGATTGGACACACTCTCAGGAAGTCAGGAAGTCAGGCAGCTGCATAACAAAGAAAGTGTGGGATTATAAGGATGATAGAAGTTTGATCGGAAAGAAGGAGCAAACCACACCAGAGCACCCGCCAACTGCCCACAATCTTAATCAAAGCAGTGAAAGGGAAGATATTGATCAAAAGAAACATTTTTTTTTAAAACAAACTCACCAGCAACACATATAACGAAGTGGTCACCGAACTCCTGCTTAATCAGCCTGACCAAATCAGTGGAGTAGTTCAAACCTCCTTCGATTCCCTTCCACTCAGTATCACCCTCCGGCAAATCTGCAGAGATAAAATAAACCTATAAAGTAATAAGTCGACTGAGCGAGAAAACACCTTATGAAAATTTTGCATAATAATTATTATCACATTTTCCCCCATATGCAGACACTCAGATACGACAATGGTTTCTCAGAATATTCTTGAAGCCAAAAGAGAAACCTGCAAGCAGTGTATATCCACAAATGAAAATGAAGCTTTTAAATGCTTGAAAAGTGGCAAAACTTACAGTGTCCAAATTGGTTTCATTGGCCATAGCAGAAGCCAAATGTTGTCTCAATGAAAAGCAGCTGTTTGTACAGGTGATTGTCAAATACAGACGGCCATTAGAGCAGGTTTGACTGTACATACACACAAGCACATGTGCACACACTCACATGTGTGAGCGAACTCACATACACACACACACACACACACACACATACAGACACACACATACACACACACACACATACACACACACACACTGGCTCGGTGACTCTCTCACCTCCTCTCAGGGCCAGGATGCTTCTGATCCCCAGGTCTTTGGCTTTGTTCAGATTCTCCTTGATCTCCTCAACAGTCATACCCACACAGGTCATGTGAAGCATGGTTTCGATGCCACAGTAGTTAAGCATGGTGCCGGCTATGCATGTTGAGCTCGTTGGCTTCTCTGTATTCCCAGGGTTCCCTGCAGGATGCCATGTCATGTCACAAAAGAGTGGCCCTCCTGCTGCAAGACGCTCAAACCTAAAAGACACAAAGAATAATGCTCACACAAACGAGGAAATTTTGAGACAATTCAACACAGACAAATATCAATACATTAGCAGATGAAACATTAGGGCCATATTAATATTTTTACCTTCTTTTTTTCCAAATAGGACAAAAATGTCAATCAGATACAACAAATCAGGTGTAACCTACGTTATTCTGAAAGTAACGTGCAGAATGTAACGTCTGAAAGTAAAGAGGAGAATATGATGTCTGAAAGTAAAGTGAAGAATATGATGTCTGAAAGTAAAGTGGAGAAGATGATGTCTGAAAGTAAAGAGGAAAAGATGATGTCTGAAAGTAAAGTGAAGAATGTGATGTCTGAAAGTAAAGGGGAGAAGATGATGTCTGAAAGTAAAGTGAAGAATATGATTCTGAAAGTAAAGGGGAGAAGATGATGTCTGAAAGTAATGTGGAGAATATGATGTCTGAAAGCAGCAAGGAGAAAAAGCTGTCAAAAAAAGAAAAGCTTGAGGTAGCGAGCAAAGAAAGAGCTGAAGAGACACGAGTCTGGCCACAGGGAGGCAGTGAAGACAGTCCACAACCTGACGAAATTCAGGGACTATTAATGGCTTTTATATTATGCTCTCATCTGAAAGAGATAAACATGAGTGAGTAATAAACTAAGCCAACGATATAATAAGGTTATATTTTCAATTACCTGGAAATCAGGTTTAAAGCACCACTATGTGTCCTGGGAGGGAAAAATTCCAAAGAGAAAAAGGGAGTACCAGACTGTTCTCTTTTCACGATTCTGTTTATAAGGGGAACATATTTCTTTGCGGCCGTTGGAGAACTTGGGCGCGATGTGATGGGTGACGGGGGAACTGAGGAATCTTGACTGTCTGATCCTCCATTTTGTGAAGGTTCTGAATTTCCGTTCTGAAAATAAGCTGGATTTGTGTCTCTGGAGCTACTAGAAACAATTTTGACTTCCGGCATATTTGTAATTCCTCCTGTGGGCTGGATCACTCAGTTTTCCTGTGAATAAAAAGCAATTCAAAACAGATTTAATAAAATTTTGCAAATTGATCCATTGAGAGGGACTCAATTATACTAACTTTTGGAGTTTTCTGACAATCCAGATTTGGCAAAGCAAAAGAGAGGGCCAACAGTCAAATAATCTGTTTTCCTTATAAGATATGAATAATGCCCAACAAAAGTACTATTTCAGTTAAGAAAAACTTCAAATGCTAAAGTTCTACAGTCAGTAAAAATCACTTTGGAAAAAGAATTAGAATGCATTCCTGGAACCCTCTTGTCTTCCTTTTATAAAGTCTACGGTCTTTTTTAGTCATACAGATGAGAAAAGAAAATTTTTCATACACGTCCTGATTTTACAATCAGTGAAACATCATGTTTCCATTACACCTACTCAGCAGAAGAGCTGACCAAGGAGAGATAAAAAGGTGAACTACTGACCCACACCTATGCATAGATAACATCTCCATGAACCTTGTCTTCAAAAGGTCATTGGCCTGGAAAATTTTATTAGCAACTAACATTTATATAATAATATACCTCACGACACTGACTGTTACAGAAATGAAATCATGGCATCCGTGTTCTTTTACTCCAGATAAAGGATCTTCTTATCTTTACAAAAACAAAATATCAGCCCTCAGGTTTCAATAAAACAGAACAGTAGAGACTCCATGTAAAGATAAGGACATCAAGATGTTTCAAACTACCTGGAAGTAAAGAAGAAAGGAAACCAACTAAAATACTTTGAAATAAATGGCACCAAGAATAAACAGAAAAAAAGAACCCTAGATGCTTAAAAAAATTAGTCAGCAGGGCAGGACATGACGACACTCTTCCACAGAGGAAATAAAGTAGGTCGAATAGATTAAATAAAGGGGGCAACTCATGTCTGCCCTAGTCTAGATGTCTGGGTATAGATAGCACTCTGTTCACCCAAGTTTGCCTTTGAGGTCCACTTTATCAGTAACTGATAAGAGAGAATTCCCATGGCAACAGCCAATCATCAGTGTGCTTTGTTCATTGTTAACCGCAGCCAAGGCCACGTGCTATGGAAAATGCCTGGTCACATGAAAAGCATGCATGACCCGAGAAAAATTTTTCTACAATATCAAATTGTTCCCTCAGAGATCTTCGATTCTCATTGCTGATACACAATGGTGCAGTTCACAGAATAAACCACAGAGATTTGGACTGCAAAGTCAAATATTATAAACAGACTGCTATAGTTCTACATGAAACATTTGATACTTTAAAACTTTATACACTTGAAATTAGGCCTTGAGCACGAGAAACTCTGTCCCTCACTTGAAGAATCTTAAAAAGTAAATACTGCTTTCACAGTTGGCCGGCTAATCTGACTTATATCAAACATGTTTCTCAAAAGACAAAGGTCTCTCAGCAAGTTTGAAAATTTTTCTCTTAGTAGTCTTAGATGATCACAATAAAAAAGCAGTGGAAATCTTAATTATCAACTCCATGCTAGAGACATGTTAACCATTCGTTTATATCACTATAAAATTAGTGTGGACATGAAGCAGGGAAGAAAGTGAAACGAAAGTGACCGAACTGAAGGAAAGTAGTGAGGAAAACCCAGCACTGTGTTGGGAGGATAAGATTCATTAACCAATATAACGGCCTTTTTGTCCCTTAACAATGATGAGCCAAAGTAAAAAATGCAAAAGTAGACAATACTTCAGAAGTAGACCGCATTCAGAAGATCGAGTAAAACTAATTGCCAATAATACCCTTTTTTTTTTTTAGATAAAAATAACTTGTTACTGTTACACTAATACTTGATTGAAAGAAAGATAATTTGAAACATTGTGGGCGAGAGAGAGAAAAAGGGGAGAAGAGACAAATAAGGGCAGAGACCATACAAAAAAAGAAAAATGAGAGAGAGAAAGAGAAAGCAAAAAAAAGAATGTGTATTTGTGAGTGTGAGTAGTTTGTGTAATAAACTGTGATTTAAGAAGTAATTTGAGATAAAAATGACATTAGAAGAGTCAATGAGTGCGCGTGGGTGTGAGTGTGTTTGTGGGTGAGTGTGTTAGTGTGCGTGTGAGAGAGTATGTGTGCACATGCATGAGTGCAAGTGTGTGCAAATGAGCATGTCAATGTCAGTGCATGAGTGTGTGTGTGAGTGTGTGTGTGTGTGTGAGTGTGTGTGTGTGTGTGTGTGTGTGTGTGTGTGTGTGTGTGTGTGTGTGTGCGTGTGTGTGTGTGTGTGTGCGTGTGTTATGAGTGTATAAAAAGGAGCGCTAAGAATGTAATGGAAGGAGACTGGGTGAGAGAAAGAGAAAAGAGAGAGAGAGAGAGAGAGAGAGACAGAGAGACAGAGAGACAGAGAGAGAGAAAGAGACGCAGAGAGAGAGAGAGAGAGAGAGAGAGAGAGAGAGAGAGAGAGAGAGAGAGAGAGAGAGAGTCCACATTCTCACTAGCGGCTGGTGCTACAAATGGGCTCTAAAAATATAATGGGTTCTATCTTTTAAAATCTACAAGCCTTTCAGCATGAATGTTTTGTTGAAGTACTACTCTGCTACAAGATAACTATAAACTTGACTAGATATCTGAATCCGAAAGGAAGGGAAAAAAATAATCATCGAGACTTCCAATTGAGGGAGAATGAGAGAGTTATGCAAGTTCCATGGCATAAAAACATAAACACGCTGCTGACTGCCAAAGTAGTCGGTCGAAAAGGAGAAGGCCACTGGTGTTTTTACTTACCAGTATATAGATCTATTACAGTTAGGTTTTTGGACCTACATACAGGTCTAGATTCTATACGTTTAGATTTAGAATTATCTACGTTTTGTTGAGCAATGTCACCATGCTTGTCCAAGCTCTGTGTCTATGGCCTATATCGTAGCCTTACAAACTACCATACTACCTCTCATCTTTTCCGACAACCAAACGTTTTTTACAAGACGTAATGCGCTAGCATACCATACAAGATTCATCTAGCAGACAATGAAAATCATGAGCATGTAAATCCCTAACCAAATTAGTCGTTAACTTCCGAAGACATTGCGTCGAAATGTTGACTGCTTGATTGAGTAAAAACGAAACTAGACACGCTGTATAGAACCTGGCCAGCTGTTTGATGTAAACACTGGCGAGAACCAATCATCGACCAGCACTAGGCCATAGACTTGTACACTATTATTGTATCCAAGATTGTATACCCTGACGTGATTCCGGTTCACTGAGGAGTGCACCATTTGGTTCTATTGAAAATTATAGGACGGGCACAGAGGAGGGAAAGGTTGCATACACACACACACTAAACAGCAGTGAGACTGGTGCTTTGCCCTTCATTTACACGCCCATGGTGAGCACTAGTGCAGGCAATTATTTTTTTTAAATAAAGAGCAAAGGGCCGCGTCCATGACAGTATCTGACCTACGTGTTATAATTGGAGTCTATGCACTAGATCTATCAAATAAACAATCGGAATTGAAACGAACGAAAAAAAGGACATTCGAAAAAGAACAATTTACTGAATTATGCATTTAATCAAATGCAATAACAGCAACATCCATGACACCCACCCAAAAGGCCTTTATATCTTGTACCGGTATACGAAGATAAAAGAAGAAAGGAAAGCGAGAGAAGGCCTCTGAGCAATCGGTTGCTTGTTCTCGGAGAGACAGAACTGTTGTTGTCGCCGCTTTATATACTACCCAGTCAGCCAATCCCTTTCAGCTTTGGCTAACTGGGTCAGACTAAAAATAGAGCTACATTATTTTTCCTCTGTGCTCTGTGGGTAATTTTTCTCCTGTGCCGTTGGCCCTATTGCTCCCGCTAACCTTGTGGCTGTGACCCAGTACGGTACGCCAAAAGGAAAACAAGACTATGGTATGCCAGACTTTCATTGAACACATTTATTTTTGCGAACAATGCTGATTAAGTTGCAAAAAGGTACATGTTCCTTCGTCGTCGTGGCAACTTTTTTTGTAAGTGTTTTACGGCTCTTGCAACAGCTTAAGGTCATACGAGCGCGTGTGACACATTAATCAGTTTGGTTGGAATTAATTTTGAATTTTGACCGGGTAGCGACAGAAGCCTACTCTTATCGATTTTAGGACCACCAAGGGATCTTTAACATGCGCGACTTGCACACGTAACCTCCGAGATTTTTAGCCCTTATCCGAGAAGGCTAAGAGTTAGATCTTACCTACTCTTCGTTCAGGGGTGTGGCAGAAAGACAGCAGTAAGAAGGAGCCAAGGAGTAGCAGTAGAAAAGCTGCTAAAAGAGTCAGGAGCCCAGAAGAGGGGGCAAAGGACGTGAGGGTGAGGGGGCAGAAAGTGGAGAAGAAAGAAGACGACAGAATATTGCCAAAGAGCTGGAAAGGAGGTGAAAGGAGAAAATACCAGAGCAGAAAATTTTCCGTCGCTGTGCGTGGCAACTTTATAGCAGAAAGAATAAGGCAGTAGTAGTAGCTCTTTCCAAACAAAAGTGCTGCTTTTTTGCGATTGGTTTTGGTTTTCTTGTATTACTAGCTGCTTCGACTCGGCAAAGCAGACCGTAATTTCTGTCTCAGCATTGTGCAAGGTGGAGTATCTGTCCGAGAAACAGCTAGACGGCTAAGCAAAAGTACCTATTCGGTTTCTCGACTTATCCAAAGATGTCAGCTCACCTGAGATGTCAGGAAAAGACAAAGAACAGGACAGTCCTGAGGTATCTACTGGGTCGTTTTCTGCTTGTAACAGTAACGTCTCAATGTTCCAAGGATTGCATGGATATATCTATGTTTTTCCACCATTGTGAGGCGCCCTCTAATAATATGATAAGTGCAGGACTTAGATCAAGAAGCCATATTTAGGATCGCCTTCAACGATTGCACGAAGGCTGCGTCATTTTCAATAGTCAACACAACATAAAAGAATCATAAAGTGTATTTTGTTCACGGACGAAAGTAGATGTCTGTTATCAACTGCTGACGGGCGACAAAGAAGGCTAGGTGTCCGTCCACAGCCTCCGCTCCTCACACGCTCCACTCCTCACCATGAAATGTCGGGACAGAAACTTGCAGGTCGTCTATATCTACACCATCCGCTCAGTATAATTATGCTTTTATTTTGGCACCTGATACAAAATGGCGCTGACAAGAAAACGCAAAATGTTTCTTTGGTGGTGATACAAAAGGAAATATCTCTTAAATTTATTATCGTCGTTACTGGATTCATCCCATATGTTGTGACCGAACCAAACTAGGAGAATTCAGACTCCTACTCTAAATAGTCTCTGGTGAAGAAAAATTCATTTACTATGGATCTGCGAATGAAGAAACCTACATTTGGTTTTCCTGACCACGTTCGCCCCAGGCTTACAGTAAAAAGACACATACTGGAGCAAGGCAATTCCATCAATCGAAAGATAGGTGTCACTTTAAAGTAAGTTTAACTGCTTGGGGTTTTTTTTCTTTGATCATTAGTCCAATCATCATCATCATAAGCAGCAGCAGCAGCACGGTCAAAGTCAAACAAATCACACTCCCGACTCTCCTCACATCCCGTAAAGCGTGCGACATCTTTGACACACGAAAGTGAGGAACGGTGAGGACCGGTGAGGAGGGGAGCGGAAAGAAGGCTGTGGACAATCTAAGTACTAGTTCATAGTGTTTGACGCCTTCATCATTATTTTTTTATGTCTGGAGCCGGGCCGAGGTTGTGGACAAGCGCTCGAATTTGGCGACGACTTGAAGAACGTTTTACAGATGTGTGTATCCTGGAACATGGCCGATTTGATGGAGGAACTGTTCATTTGTAGGGTGGAGTCAGTGTTTATTACAGAACAGTTCTTATTCTTCACAATTTAAAAGCTCCAGTAATAGCACAGGTATGCGTAAACGAGGTGTTAAAACGTATTGTTGCTCTGGCTTTTCAGGGGCATCTACAGAAAATCTTGGTCTTCCAACACGATATAGGCCTAGCGCTTGCCCTCACACTGCACGTGTGATTATGCAGTTTCTGAACTGACTGGCGTTTATTTTCACTGGACATGTCTCCAAAAGTAAAAGAGCACATTTGGGACGACCTGAACTTCAGAATACTTGCAAGAGGCAGTTCTACGAATGTGCAGCAATTGGAGGTCGCACTGACTCAACAGTAGGTCAGTCGAATTCCCCAGAAAGCATTGAAAATGATTCATGGGAACCGACATCTGTGGTGTAGCGGTTCGGCACTTCGTTGTAGGGATAATATTTTATCCAGTTACTCGATCTTTCTTCTGGGATGTTGTATCCATCTCAGCTCGGGTTGGCCCTGACAGGTAGGGTCGACAGCCTGCCTCCTAATGATCTAAATAGTGTCTTTGGAGGCATAAAGCTTATAAAAAAATAAAAAGGTCCATGAGAAGACATATTTTGTTGGCATGTATACATGTATGCAAATGGGTGGCCATAAAAATTACCAATGGTGGTACCGTATAATTTTTTTTAAAACTACAATTCGATTTGTGCTTACCCACAAATTTCTCAAAAGGGGATATTCCGAAAGAAGGGAGGCCATAGATCGAAATCAGTTGACAGGTGCTATCAAAATGGTTCACAAGAGTTGGAAAATGAATACATTTTAATGGACACGTATTGATCGTCTGTCTTCATTCCTTAGAAACGTGCACAGACTCTGCGAACGAAGTACATGTATTCCTTTTTTTATTGCACGCACTCTCGCACGAATGTACACACGCACAGACGCACACACGCGCGCACGAGAGAGACAAAGACTTGATGAATAGAGACAGAGCTAGGATGAGAAGGGGGAGGGAAGAGAGACGGAAAGGGGTGGGGTGAGAGAGGGAAAGGGAGACAAAGAGGGACAGAGAGACAGAGCGATAAGAGAGAGAGAGAGAGAGGGTGGGGGAGAGATCTAGAAGTGTTCGGCTCCCATGAAAAATGTGTTTCTATGGCCCTCCATGGGGCCCTGTACAAAGGGTCATCCTGACTCACTGACAAAACCCTTGGCTTCTAAAGTTTCAGAATGTTGGAATCATGCTAGACTATGAAGTTGATGTCCCTGGTTTGAATCCTAAACTGGTCGTTCTTGAACTCGGGTAGTTTTATGAGGTAATCACGTTTCTCAACCCATTTTAATTGACCCTATCGGAGACGGACGTTAAATTCGGAGTCCTCGCCTCATAAATAACTTAAAAGTGATGATAGGGGCGTTAAACCGTAACACTAAGTTGTGGAAAGGGCTCATCACTACACAAAAGTCATAATTGGTAGCTTTTAAGGACAAGCGGGCGAATCCAGATTTCGGGGGTTTCCAGAAATCTTGAGCATTGCCCTGCCTACAGGAAAAGTTTACTTTCATTGGTGCGTATATACTTGTTTGTTAAGGAGGGGGACTACACCTTGAGGCTATCTCGCTTATTACAGTACCGAATTTTACCAAAGTTCACACATATAACAAGCATAGTAAGGGGTCTTAAAATCTGCAATCAAATTTGAGAAAAAGGTTTTGTTTCCATGGATACGCCGCCATATTGGATTTTATTGACATGTCTTACGTAATGAATACCGCACTTATCGCTCGTGGAAATTGATTTTTTTTGTTGCATGCGTGTTCACAAACATTAGATTTAAAAATTTGTATGTTGTTTTTTTCATAATTGAATTAGAACGTTTTTAATGAATTTTTTCCTGAGGTAGCATTCAAGTTTGCGAAAAATCCGTGAAAATCCACACTCTAGACACTACCAACAAAAATCTATTCCATATATCAAAAATTCAAAAGACGTAGTTTTAGTATTACCTCTTGTCTTCATTCTGTGAAAATTTCATGAAGATTGGATGAAAAATGGTGGAGTTATTCAAAAAAGCATAGAGGAAAGTCGTATTTTGAGAAAACGGCCGATAAAGAAAAATAAAATACTGACTTTATGAGGAAATGGCGGTTACAAACATGCCCGGTATGGGAAAAAATACGGTTTTGGGGGGTTCTTTTGCCATGAAATAGTTGTAGGAGAGGCTGGGGAAGCTAAAATTGCCTACAACTCAAATTCCATGATTTTGAGCCGAATTTTGATTTTAGCGGAATTTTGATTCTCCAGCCCCCCCCCCCCCTCCCTCCCATTAATAGAGAAAAGTCTCCTTGTCTTTTAAAGAAACTGAAAAAGGGGCAAAAACTTTACGCCCTTCGATTTTCTCAAAACAACATTTTTCGGGATAGCTCCCTTGTGCTGAAAAGCGACCAATTATGTAACAACGACCCCCGTGTTTATCTGCCTTCGCCCACAAACCAAGAAAGTTACTTGTCTCTCAGGACTATCATCCTTCACCGACACGAGGGGCCGAGACGCAGACTGTCCTTGACCGTTGGTCGAACCCCCAACCCCCCAATTGCCCAGGCAACGCGCTGTCACGTACGTTATCTGAAAGATTTTCTTGTCATGGGCAACCCTGCGCTCCGTGACTTTAAAAAAACATCTATGGTGCAATTCCTTCCACGATGAACATTGATTTGAGCGGGTCTGATCATAACTAATAGCTACAACGACTACCGTAACGGATGAGTTGATGTCGTCCTGGGAGTGCC